CAGTATGTACATATAGGTAAAGCTAGTACTATATACGTGATGGCCATTCAGGGAAACACATATCATGGAGTGACATTAAAATAAAATTGGAATATTTTAAAAGAATCTACTTGTGACAAAAATTTCTAACTACAGTACTATAGTGATGATGATGATGATGATGATATAATTATGGTAAGTTGTAAATTTCAGTATTCAATACCAGTCAATTTGACCATTCCTTTTTACATATGGAGTGCAGGTCAAAATGACAGGATGTAACTTAAGGCTACTGACCCCCTTCGCTAGAGTTTTCAAATTAGTTTAAAAAATTATTTTGCGTCTCATACGATAAGAACCATAACACATTATATATCATATTAAAGCTGTATGACTGAAGAATAAGGCTATGAAGTTGGTTTAGCAAAGTCGTTAAAAGATTACTTAAAAATTATTAAGCTAAAGTCAYGTTTGCATTAAAACYTCACCTTTTTCAATGGATATTGTTTGGGCCACAGTGAGATAAAAAAACGYGTGAGCGTTTTTGGATTTGGATTTTCATTTTTTCACTTATGGCATCAAATTTCACATCAAGAATTTGTAATTTTGAATTCAACTAGCAATATCTCCTCAAATAAAAAAGATCAAAAATCGCTCTGACACACRGTTTTTAAGTTAACATAATCATAGTGACAAATATACTGACGTACCAACTTTGTTGAAAAAATAAATACTTTTTTTGGATTTAACTTTTTGGACTTGATTTTTGATTATTAATTTGTAATAAATTACCTATGAAATATTGTTACAAAGCAATGTCATAGACGTTTAGATTATTGTGTTAGYTTCAAAAAGATATATAATATGTTTAGGTATTATTTAATGAAGCCAAGAAGATAAAAATGATTTTTTTGCAGAGGCACCCTGCACCTACACTTTTGCATGCCTTACCATACCTGTCAAAATCCTGTGTGAGATTATTCCTTAATACAAAGCTTGTCAGGTTTTGGYGATCTGATTTAATTGGAGGAAGCAGATCCTGGCATTCTACATTCTAAATTAAGGATTTCACAACATTCTAACAGTTTAGCATGRAATTTTTGGGTTTTGCAGTGCAGTTACAATACACTCAGAGTGTAGAAAGYTATTTACYGATAGTGATTTACCAATAGTAACAGTCTAAGTAACAGCTAAATTGTATTGTCTGTGACCCMAAATATGAATTGGTTTTTGATTCGTTGCCAGCTCATTTTAATCTCATCAATTTTGAATTCTACAGTGCATGACTTTGACAGCTAGTGCCAACCTGAACACTAAAAAAGTATGATTTCACAAGAAAAGATAGCTTCATTATAGACAGCAACAGATGATCATAGATTGCATGCATGGGCTTCCTGTGGCAATTTGCACAGTTTATAAATCAGTTTATAAATCACCCCATTTGAACTATTTTGGTGAAGCACTTCCTTTCTTATGTCCCAAGCATTCCTTTTTGCCTACATATGCATTTGAAGTAAACTATTCACCAAAGACAGTGCTGATTTAAGACATGTACTTTCACCACAGGAAGCCCATGCAATAGACTTTAGCTGGTGTTGACATTACATATATTTCAATATTCACATATTAGCATCTTTCCTAGTGATGTGGAAAAAATAGCAGCATCAAATAAAGGATACCCCATTTAGTTTTTCGGTTGAATGTATACGTTTGGTTACCAGGATCTACAAATCCTTGAAGGTAGGAGTACTTGCAAAGCGTTAGCCTTTTAATATAGCCATCTTCAGTAGGAAGAGCAAAAATACCCACAGCAGTATCAGGGAGGGTGTAATACTGAAATAGTAACACAGTTTAGCTTTAMTGACTATTCAAAAAGATGAAGCAATTAATTGCCAACCACATTCAAATAATGACCATTGCTAAATGGTTATTTCTATGGTTCATAAAAGCAACAGGGATACTTTCTAGATTGCATATCAACTTAATGAGTACTCTGGGAATTGTACAGCTTGAGTATAAGAAAGCAGTCTTTATCATAATAATTACCTGGTTAACTGTGTGACGAACTTGAGTGTAAAATTGTTCTTTTGTGAAGATGAAGTTGCCATCTTTATTGTAATTGTAGATAAATAGATTCCTAAAAGTATTCTGACTATCCTCCATGTAAGTCACAACAGAAAACAGTTCTTGACCAAACAATRCCACCTAATGAGAAATATCATTGCAATATTTATATATAAATATTATAGTTATTATAATAACTCACAATTCTATTACATTGTTTGTTATTTTATGCGAAAAACAAAATACAGTATTATCAAAAATCAATTATATAGGGATTGTTACCTAATCATATATAATAACCTTATCTAAATAAAATAGAAAATTACAGAACAAACTACTGTATTTCCATGATGTAATTTTCACTACAATATTGTTTCGTATGGTCCAGAGGACCACACTCATCAGGTGAAACCAATTACATGACCGTTAAAATCTAAAGGTTTACATTAAGTACAAGTTTGCAATTGACGCTAAAGTATAAAATTACAGATTCGTGATGTTATAGATACAAGAGCGTGACGGATTAAATGTTTATCCGTTGTAAAATCTTAAGAGGTATTTTCGACAATGTCTAATAACCTTATCTATATACAAAATATTGAATAGATTTGATTTTTCGAGCCTTGCCAAGATATGTCTGATTTTTTCGCGAAGTGGCTCTTAATAGCTTTGGGGATGTTATCTAAGATGCTTGGTGGATGGTTAAATTTTTTGTGCAGATACATGCAAAGCAGGGTGTATTGTTGGGTTTAGAATACGGCATATATTTTCCACTTGTTAAATGTTATGTCAAGGAAGTTAACAGTCTTGGTTGGCTTCGATGGTTATTCTTAGCCCATGATGGTTGAAATCGTGCAAAGATCTTTTTTAATCATCTCGATTTTTTGACGAGTGTCACATGATTCACCATCGTATTTTGATTAGTGAACACTGTAAATAATTTTAAATTTGACTGTTTGTCTAATGAGTGCTGTACAATTTCTGTGTGGTAAAAAAAACAGCAGATATGTCTTTTTGCATTTTATTGTCCCAAAAAATCATATCTGAACTCGTTATTAAAACTATTGAGCACTCTGAAAGCAATTTACACAAAAATTACATAATATAACTTATAGAGAGGATAGCACATGGGCGGGAAGAGATACTGATTTTATCTTTGAGTGTTGAAGAGATCTACACTCACTCGTGAGAGATTTTCAACAAGAGAAGATAAATTTTTGTATCTCCAAGCGACCATGTAATATTCTGTTTATCATATAATTATTGCACATGAAAGCAAATTATGCCATAAAATTCCTTTTTTCTTACTTCCACTATATAGAAATACCTCGATTGTGTTATTTTCACTAGTGAAAAATATCAACTTTAAGAAATGGAGAAATATGGGTATTTCATAGATAATTATATGATGTTTTTCTCATATATCTGTTTTACGTAGTTGTGCCTAAACTGGGATTTATCTAGCGAAGTTAAATTAATAAAGTTTTAACGAAAAAATAAACTATATTTATCGTTTACTTAAAATTCTATTTGTTAAGTATAAATTATATGTGATTCATCGTATCATTCTGTATTCTTCTACACAATCAATCTTCGAGTTGTGCTGCAATTGGCAGCTTGATCTGATTGGGGAGGGGGGAGGGGCTAAAGCAATTTCCTATAAACCACCTTTGTGTTAAAGAAAGAGTTGGTAGAATTTCAATCAAATGTTTTCTAATGCACCTATCAAAGTTAATCCCACGAGGGGAGGGGGAGGGGCAAAACGTGGGGATTTGAAACTGTTAGTGGCACCTACAGTCGGGCATTTGATCRTTTTGTGTGTCTCAAGCATCTCAGCATTTGATCTGGCTGCGAAGAGACTGAGCTCTGGTTGAATGCACGGTTACCAAGCAAACGTATTGTCAGCGTTCTGTCAATGTTGTCAAAGTAGACTTTTAAGAAAAACAGGTTAGTTTTATCTATCTTTTAATTTGTTTTTCTATATTTTTCTTCTAGAAATTTCTTGCTTTTTCATMATTCCTATTTTGGGTATGAATAGAATGAAAGAATAGAATAAACCCCAAAGGAGAGAGATTTGTAATAAATTTGTAGTAGTTCTGTTTATTCAGTTCAATTTCATAAGTTGAAATGGCGGAGGCAACCTCCGTGTGTAGCTTTCGAGATCCAACAACTTGAGAAGAAGATGCTGAGTTATTGTCAAAAGCTACGCCACAATCTACAATACAAAACGAAGTGGGCCGTGGAAATTTTCATGTCATGGCAAATGTGTAGACATACGAAAAACCAAGTACAAACGTATGCAAGRTAGTGTCAAACGTTCTCGGACATGTCGGATCGCAGCATGTGGGTTCGACCATGACCATACCCACGAGTACATCAACAGTACCCGGCCGGTCAGCAGGCGACAAGAGGGAGAAACGCATATCATCCAGTGCTCCAGTAAACCCAGTGATCAATTTGTTATAAATGTGTATTACAAAAAACCTCAATAAGAAATATGTATGTTTAAATATGAATGAAGTATTCATAGAATAAATATAAAGAATAAAAGATGAGTACAAAATATGCAAAATGTGTACACATCTCTATAAGAATGAAAAAAACTGACCATTAAATGTATGAATATGAAGACCGCATGGCACTATGATAAACACGATATAGAAATGAAAGAAAGTTATAGTGCTATGTTACCATTAAATGTACCGTGGATAACTATAAAGTATAATCGCTTCTTTAGCAAATATAGATCTATCGATTTTCTACGTGTAATAAGTTAACATAGCCACAAGGAGAAATATAAATRATACGTCAAACCCAATACTTTCAACAAWATCATCACTAGCTAAGTTGGTTACGCACTGGACTCTCAACCCAAAGGTCACCGGTTCGAGCCACTCCAATGGTAAGAAGTAGTTAATATAATATAGTAAAATAACATAACATAAAAATTGATTAGTTAAAATAAAGATTAGAGAAGTAAGAAGAAGAGAAAAAACACCCCAAAAAGATAAGTGTTTAAAAGTAACGGAGAAGTTTTAAGAGCCTAGCCAATTTATGTTAATGAGTTCCAAACCCATGTGTCTGGATATCCAAACACATGGATTTGGATATCTAAACACACGGTTTTGGAACTAATTAGCATTCGATGTTGGATCATAGTATCCAAGGGTATTCACGTGACTCTAAAATAAACATCCGATTGGACTACGAAGTCATGAATTATTAATGAGTTTGAGAAATATTGTACATGTATTTTAAAGATTAAAAACAGCTGTGAAGTAGTTTAATATTCGTGCAGTTTTTTATGTTGCAGTGTTCAAGGAGATATCATTCCTCAACGCAGAAGAAGCACCAGTACAATGACAGTGTTCTGCCTGTGTAGAATCATGGGAATCTTTGTAGTTTCAATAAAGTTTTAATTTTCAATGTTTATTTGTAATGATGCTGTTGATTAATTTTGATCCTTTTGAAAAATAAGACACAATACACTAAAATGAAGTTCAATTTTTATTTGATATGCATGCATGAGAACGTCAGTAAAATATTCTCCACGGTAGTGGGACATTTGCGTTCATTTGATCTGTGTTTGCTTCCCTACCCTCGGGATTTTGACAAAAATTTATAGTTCTCAATCTGAAATTCCCCCAGGGGATTAACTTTGATAGGTGCATAATAGACATAATAGACAAAAATTATTCTGAAGTATAGAGTACAAACATTAAATGTGTGCAACACTTTCAACTATTTGCTACAAAATAGTGTTAATTAACAAATAGATCTCATTTTTCCGTGCGTGTGTACTCTAATAGATACACAGATGACGTCAAAATGTAGTGACTGCGTCTCGTGCGTACTTTTTTGTTCTCACTACATTTTGACGTCATCTGTGTATCTATTAGTCGTGAGTACACATGGACGGAAAAATGAGATCTATCTGTTTTATACAACAAATTAGTTTTGACGTAATCYGTGTATCTATACTTTGATAACACACAAAAGCCAACCAATCAAAACGTCTGATTTTACTGAAAAGTTGTATAATTAAACAATAGAAACCAATATAATTAGCATAATTTAGCAGTATTTAGTGGTATTTATGTTGCACAGTTTTAGTGTTTGTACTCTAGGACTGAATTTAAATGCAATTAACTATAAATGTACACATTTAGTTTGACTTTTTGTAGCTACACTTCAAAACTCACCTGAGCAGTCACAAAAATAATCTTGAACATTTGAACAACCAATTTCCATGGCTTTCTTCCTCGATATTTAAACTTTTGAAGAGGCGTCATAAAATGGGCTTTAAGCCTCTTTCGTATCACTTCAATGCCATTTCTCTGAGAATTATATTCTTCTGAATCGTAGATGGATTCGTAATGCACAGAGTTTCCTGTTCGATGAAGAAGTGGTTCACTTTGTTCTACATCGTCATGCGTACATGTATTTGCATTGAAAGATCGAGCGAGATGCCTTGAATTTCGAGAGCTAACTCTTGTTGGTATTAAAGTATGATTCATCGTATCCACTGATCCAGAAACACGGTCGGATAGTTCTGTAGCGGCTGGCAGAAACCTTGTATCATCAACGTCTGTTAGAAGATTGTATGTTGGGTATGTTGTACATGACATCGCAAGATATCTTCGTCTTTCGCAGTAAAATCATGAAGACTATCTTTTCAAAAGTACTCATATATAGTCCTTACGCTTTCGTTACAAACTTGTCTTTCGAAACCTTAAAAGCAAAATAAATACATAGACAAACTGGCGTAATTAACATCGTCGTACGATCGGTGTAAAACTCATGTCACTCATGTGCATCAAACACGAATAAGGTCCGGTGGCTGTCCGGTGTTGTATCGATTATTTACGTTTAGGCACAGGGAGCCCACGCAATAACTTTGAATCTACTTTTAATGATCTCCAAATAAAAATGATTTTTAATTAAAATTATTTTATTTAGCACTATTAAGCATTATAAATGTTTTTTTATTCTGTTCTATATATAAAGAGATTTTCGGGGCGACTAAGGCCCGTAACTGAAAAAAAAGAATTTGTAAAATTTTACTATGAGAAGGCAACAGGCCATATTCGACATCAGGGAAATAGCACCTGAATGTCTTAATATCAATATATTAATCCTTCGTCTRGTTGTCTTGCATACAACGCTGAGCCACTTAGCCGTCAAAAACTAACTTTGATTTAAAACCTTCTCAGTTGAGCAAACTTACATATTTGTATTCAAACTTGCAGCGCGCGCGCATTTCTGAGTCCAACCTACTGTTCAAAAACTCGTATATTCAAATTGCAACATGTGGCTGTCTGAAATGACTTAATCCTCAATTCTTGTTGTTGATGTTACCGTACTTCCTAATCACATCACCGTTTCACATCACTATTCACACGAGCAATGTTTATAACAACGTCGTCAAAGAATTACTTCTTCTGTATGTTTCGCCTTGAAAACGATACCTTAATGTTGACTTAAATGCAAATTGTGACATTACACCTGACGCTAAAATGTGGCAAAAAATTCCCGCGCAACTATGACGTTGATTGGTTTCGGTGTGTCAAGAGATGACTGAGTCGTTTTCTGTTGTATTTGAGGTACTGGCTATATGTATAACCTGGATTTATTGTTAGTTATTCCCCTCGGGGGGGGGGGGGGGGTACACCAATATATTTGCTATGCGGGGACGTGCCGCTGGCCAGGGTATGGTTTTTGGCCTTGCTGTCTTACAGTCTTAAACAGGGTATACATTTCACCCGAAATTGTCTTAAACAGGCTCTACAATTTAGATAAAAGACCGATATAATTTTTTTGTGTGTCTTG